ACACACACACACACACACACACACACACACACACACACACACACATACACACACACACACACACACACAATAAACCCAGTAAACTAATAAACCCAAAATAACAAAGACAGGCAAAAGTGTGACTTTGGGTTTCATCAAATAAGCCGGAGTCCCCAGGCGGCTCGAGTCCAGAGGCTCACAAATAAAACTTTATGCCAAAGGGCCACGACCACTTTGATTCAGGCCCAGTTCTACCAGAAAGTGTCATTAATATTTCTTTAAACCAAAAACTGGTAGTAGCCTACATGTTTTACATTCATATTTCGCAACAATTTCGATCATAGGTAGGGATATCATTTTATCTGAATCATCGAGTAGGCCTACCGCTTGTAGCGAGTCATATACATGTACTAGTAGTAGTTAGTAGGCTTTTGTTAAGATGATGCTGTGGCTCATTCATTCGTTCATCCAGTGCTATATCTGCAACAGACATCGGAGATGAGATCATGGTTCTCCTTTCATTCATTTGCTCAGATGCTCTTTAAAAAAGTTGTTTCCCTGATCTTTCCCCTTTACCCATTTGTTTAAGTAGGTTGCTCTGGACCTACCTCTTCCTCGTTTGCCTTCAATTTTACCAGTGATAGCTAGATGTTCAAGACGGTTATATTATAACGGTTATGTCGCTCTAAATGCGTAACATACTTCCCTATAGGTGTGTTATATTTCACATAATGCCATTTGTAATGCTGTTTGTATTAAATCTCTCTATACGGTATGAGTGATATCGCTCGAAATGTCAATTAATTCCCTCTGTATAATAAAATGTGTACTTTATATCAGTGAAAACGATCTATAAACCGTGTGATACATTTCCCGATAGAGATGTGTTATACCTCTCTATAACGCCAGTTATATAGCCCTAATAATGTGTAATATAGGCCTCTCTCTGCAGGTGTGTTATTTCGGTCTAAATGTCAATTATAACCCTTTTTATTTGTACTTTATCTCTGTGAACGTGTGTTGTATCGTCCTGAACGTCGGTTATAGTGCTCTAATGCGTACTTTATTTATTTATTTATTTATTTATTTATTTATTTATTTATTCATTTATTTATTTATTTATTTATTTATTTATTTATTTATTTATTTTATTTATTCATTCATTTCTTTCTTTTCATTTGGGGGGGGGGTCTAAACTCCACTTCAGTGACTTTGTTGGAACCGCAGGACAACTAAAAGCTTTTTACAGGCCAACCTTTTATAAACATAAAGTAAATCACATTAAATACGGACTGTGGGGGTAAAGAACAGAAGCATTAAGTTAATATAAATATGTACGAGGCAACTTATTTATAAAAACTACTAGACTGCTACCCTTTACATTCAAACCACCGTTGCCAAGTTTAGTTCACCCTGCAGCCGCTGTGCATTTTCTGGGGCTGACCGTGTTGACGATGGACAAGAGAGGAAACTTGTTGTTTAGCCTGACTCAGTTTTCGTTTTAGGCTTTTATATTTTAACTATTGTACCATGTATAGATAGCCATGAATATGTCTCGTAGACCAGTCAATTTCCACACCTTGAAGACCCGTGTGACAGCGAAAGATGCAAATTATTTTAGAACTTTACCCAATCCAGAAGTTGTACTCGACTTTCTTCAGTGCGCAAATTCCAAAGACACGCTTCTTCACATCATGTGCAGACACGGCTGTGACGAGGTCCTTCATTATTTTGTCAAAGAACTTGGGGCAGACATGGAAGTTTGCAACAAGGATGGGAAAAGACCTATTCATGAAGCAGCACAGTTTTCACAAGAGAAATGTCTTCAGATTTTACTTGAGAATGGTGCTCAAATTGATCCTCTGAAGAGAGCAGATTGGTAGGCTATGTTTCAGGATTTAAAGAGAACATTTTCTATTTTATATGCTTCAAAACTATTTTATTTATGGCAATATAACGCCATCAGAGTGAAATCTTAGTCAGTGCCCATTGGAGGATAGGTTCGGTTTCTAGCAGCTTCAGTGCACACTGTGAATCAATAGACCGCCCCAGGCTCAAACGGATCGTCAGACGTGCAACCCTGAAATCAAATGTGTTAGTTCTTAAAGGCCATTGTCAGTTTCGTTCAGTTTATCTCTTTATGCCATGCAGGTAGTTTTTCTCCCTCCACGGAAGAAAGTCTGGCTGGCCCTGACAACCAAACCGAACCGAACTGATCCTGTAAAGGGCACTGGTTATTAGATTTACCTCTTCTCCCCCCACGTTGCTTTCATACATTAAATTGTATCTAAAATAAGGCCTCATTTGCATCACTGCTCTGTCAAGAGAGAGAGTGAGTTTATTCCTTTCAAATCGTTTTTTTCATTTCTAACTTCAGAACTACCTTTGCTCATAGTTCATTGCTTCTCATTTATCTGGGAAGCCACCACAATAGCACTGCGTCGAATGAAAAGCTGGTATTAATAAAGATATGATGCACACTAGTCACTTGAAGAGTGCTACTGTAAGCTACTGTTTTAAATCTTAAACTTTAAATATAATCATATGTTTTTCCTGTCTATATGTGCGCTTACTTCACTCTAGGTTTGCTCCTTACTGTACTTACAGGCTGTCATGATTTTAAGAAAAAAATGTAAACTTACCATCACCTACCATAGTCTTTCCCTTACTTTTTCCTTGTTCCTGTTTTTAGTTTCATATATTTGATTTTTTTCAGATCCAGAAGTAATGACTTGGCATTTCAAATTCTATCATTTTTACAACGGTGCCAGTAATTTTCAGTTGATAAAATATTAACTTGGTGAATAAAATTGGAGCACAGTAAAGATTCATTCTTTTACCACTAGGAGTAGGAGTGGTTTTGCCGAAAGGCTTGGTTTTGACTGCTGTGTTAAGTGTAAAGCAAGAAAAATCTAATTTTTACCTCGCTACACTCTAGTAGTAGGATTGTCTACTCTTCTCTTCAGGACTCCACTGATGTTGGCGTGCACAAAACAGAGCTTCACTGTTGTCAGTTGTTTGCTGAAAGCTGGAGCTGACCCATTGTTGAGAAACAAAGATGGATGGAACTCTTTCCACATTGCCTGCAGGTAAAATTAAAGGGCTATTAATTCACTAACAATTATAACAACATTTATAGGTCCTGTATTTATATGTGAGGCATTGTGGTGAAATCGGGCGCTCGTCAAAATAATGAAATCAAAGATACTGGCATTTTTCTGCCCATTTGGCAATTTCTATTGAATTTCTTTTTGTGTGGATCAAAACCTTTTATGTCCATATAAAAACACATTTCTGTGTGGATTTTGCTGGAAAACACTGATTGAAGGCACAAAAAAAGTAAATGTTAAGGTTCCAAGGACTCTCAAGCTTTGGAAATAACTAAACTTTGGCGGACATTTTTTCACTAGTGTTATCTCTGAAACCAGGTGACCCCCATCTCCTTCAATCACAAATATCTTAACTTTTAGTCGAGACAGATGGGTATATTTTAATCTAAAGATAGTCAAATGACCAACTTTAACACTTTGCAGTCACTTGTCACAATATGTGCTGGTGAAAATTATCCGTTCCGGTCACCTGGTGGACTTCTGTGCCAGGCCCGAGAAGTCCATTGCAGTCGCTCTCCTGGCCAGGTGACCAGATGGGGTATTTTGTACAGCTGGCTTTGTGACCGCAAAGTGTTAAGATGATGCCAATAACTTGACATGCCCAAAAATTGACGAGTGCCAGATTCTACCACGTCATGACACTTATACGAGAGACGTCCAGAAAGTAAGTACCGTTTCAAGATAATTATAAAAGAAATAACTTTCCCTATCAAAACGATTTATTTTGGGATACCTCATATATATGACTACTTCTCCACGTAGTCACCAGAACTGTTTAGGCATTTGTCATAGCGTGGGACGAGCTTCTGAATGCCCTCATCATAGAAAGCTGCCGCCTGCGATGTCAGCTAATGTCGAGTCTCTCCTGTGAGGTCTGAGTCGAAGTCCCGCCCGGCCAAAAACTTTTTCAAATGCAGGAACGGATGAAAGTCATTCAGAGCCGGGTCTGGGCTGTATGATGGGTGCTTCAACTGTTCCCATCCGAAGGAGGCGATCAGGTTTTGGGTCTGTGCAGACTTGTGAGAAGTTGCATTGTCGTGAAGCAGAACAATGCTGTCGCTAAGCATTCCGCGTCTTTTGTTTTGATTCGCTTTACACAGTTTTTTAAGTGTGTTGCAGTACACATCAGAATAAATTATAATCCTATTTCCGAAAAATTCTACTAAAAGAACTCCTTGCATGTCCCAAAACACTGTACACATGACTTTTTTTCCTGACGCGGCCTGCTTGAACTTTTTTGGCTGGGCGAATCCGTATGCTTCCACTGCATCGACTGCTGCTTTGACTCAGGCGTGGAGTGGGGCAACCAGGTCTCATCCCCCATCACAATATGAGTAAGAAAGTCATCTCCTTCGTCATTGTAACATGTCAGGAATGTCAATGCGCTGGCAGCCCGTTGATCCTTATGCGCTCGTGTCAGCTGCTTGGGCGCCCAGCATGAGCGCACCTTTCGATAACCCAAATGGTCAGTGACGATTTCATGCAGAAGCGACCTTGAAATCTCAGGAAAGTTTGAAGAGAATGAGGAAAGGGTAAAACGCCTGTCTCCCTTTACCTTTTTAATGTCAACTTTGTTTATCAAATCATCACTGACCAAAGATGGACGGCCACTCCTGGGTTCATCATGCACATTTTCTCGCCCCTCTTTGAACATGCGACCCACATTGCATTATCACCATACGCTTCAGAAATCTGCCTATGAATGTCGCTAGGCTTCGTGTTCTTTGCAGTCAGAAAACACCCCCCCCGGGCGGTCCACTGGCTGAAGTGTCATTAGGCCATTCCCAAAGGGGGGGACATTTCTCGTTCTAATGCACAGTAGAACTGTAAATGGGCTGATCTAACAATGTCATGCTCATAACTGTGCCTGAACTACTACCGGGAACTGCTGCTTTTTCTTTCCTAATCCTTACTATCATCATTTTCCTCTACTTCTTTTGTATGTTTATCACACTCTTGTGACCCGCTATTTTCGGGGTGCCTTGATAGTCAAAGCAGACTTTGTGCTGCTGAAACTAGAGAGATGAGCAGAGTAAGTCTGATTCCCTGTAAGGAATTCTCTATTGACATCCACTTCTTGGAGCTCATATGACCTTATGCAGTTGCGAGCACAGTAAAACCTCTACTAAAACAGTCAGAAAACGAATAACAGACTGAGTTTCACTGTCAGCATAATTTTCAATCTTTGAAGACATGTTGAAGCTTCAAAAGGGTGTAGAATGTTTGATACAAAATGTGGCTGTGTAAACTGGCGGGGGAAAAACTGGGTGAGATGTTTTACAAGCGTTGTAGATTGTTGTTTACAATGGCAAGATGGAAGCTGAGGGCTCTTTCCAACTCAGTATTGAACACATCAACTCACTATGGTGCAAAATCGGGAATATCCTTACCCAGTTTAGAGAGATGTGAAAACGGTACTTACTTTCTGGACGTCCCTCTTAGTACAATATAGGTTGAGAAGAATGATGAGGTCTCCTCAATTTATGTGAAATAGTTTGAAGCATGTGTGTGTTGATCTGTAAGACAATGGGACAAAATAGATCTCGTGTTGTTGTTATTGATTTAGGCCTAGGCCTATAATTGGTATGAAGCTATTCTCTTTTTGTCTATATGATTCTGCTTGAATAATTGAGTCCATTGGAAGTTTTGACCCCTTGAATGCTTACGAATGTACTTCCTATGCTCCAAACCTAGAGCCCTCAAAGGTTCTGCTTTAAGTAGGCTGTATGGAAAAATTAACTCTGTAAAATTATTGATAACTGGTTTTCAATTTGTTAAATTTATTTTGTCATAATAATTGTTTTTACTTATATGTTTTTTACTTAGAGAAGGCCACCTTGATATCATTCAAAGTCTGAATGCTCACTCTCCTTTGGTCAGTTGCACAAAAAGTAATAACCTGCGAACACCTCTACATTCATCAGGTATGTTAATTTTTTAGCCTGAAACCTTGTTCTATCATAATTCATTTTACACTCTGTGAATCACTTTTTGTTTTGCCCTGGCCAGTTCTGGGATGCAGCAAATAACTGGGCCACAAGTTTTCTCAATCCATTCTCTCTGATTTCGTACTGCCCACAGACATACAAAAGTAAATACTTTTCTCTTATTGCAAATTTATTCATTTATTTCGAAAAGAAAAAATGGGGGGAGTTTTCAGCATTTTCCAAAGATGAATTTTAAGTCATTGGGCTGTGGCTGTTTTTCCCTGATTAAATGAGAAGAATGATGGCATAATCCTACATTTGTTTACAAAAGAATGAAATTCACAATCTCCTTTCAAAGAGGAAAAGAATAGAATGCTACCTTTCTTCCATGATACACGCTTGCTGGTCTATTTCCGCAAAAGAGCATACCATACCTTTTGTTGACTTGCTGTGTTTATATTTTATGTTGTTGGGGTTTTTTTTGTGGCAGCTCTTCACGGTCACCCGGAGGTTGTTCGGTGGCTGTTAGACTCATGTGATTGTGATCCAAGTGTACAAGACTCTTGTGGTGTGACTCCTCTTATGGATGCTCTTAGGGCGGGATATGTGGATACAGCTAAAGTGTTGATGGATGCCTTTGAATTGAAGGTATGGTATCTTCTGTTTGATTTCAATAAAATTCTGATCTTAAGTGTGATGTAGTCCTCTGTTTTTTCTTTCTTTTTGTGTGATTAACCCAAATAAAGTTTAAAATGCTCTGACAACAAGAATTTATTGAAATATGAAAAAAAAGTCAGTTTTTAAAATATTCACCCTCCAACAGGATTTTTGAGAAGCATAAAAGAATAGATAAAATCAGTAGAATTGTATTGTTCACTTAGAAAGGGATACATGTACAAGAAATGTTGAAGAAGTTTTCAAATAGAAAATTCATTTGTTTGAAGGTATCATCATTACTGGCAACAGAAGACAAGATGGGCCGTCAAGCAATCCATCATGCCGCTCAGAGTGGTCAGCTAGCAGCCCTCTACTTCCTGATCAATGAGTGCAAAATATCTCCCTGTGTACAGTCAAAGTTTTCAGGAGAGACCCCTTTGCATACAGCTGCACAGGTAAGTTTAATATTTCATGTTTTTTAAAATTTCCCTCTTCCTCTTAATCCAGAAATATGTGTGTGAGGAAAGATAATGCTGAGGGTTTTAGAAGATGTGTAGTTTCTTAGAGCCACTTTTATCTTTCTGGATATATCTTGTGTCAACTTTTCTTCTTTTTTTTTCCAGTCCATCAAGGTCTTGGGATTTTTAAGATTTAGGTTGCATTCCTAATTTTTTTTATGTGACTGTTTAACCTAAGGTTGTTTGTGACATGCATTTTGTTTGGGTTTTTTTGTTTTTTCTTATTAAATAAAGAGCTTCTGACTGTTTAATGTACAGTTAAAATAGATGGGATTTTTAGTTTTTTTCCTGTAACAAAGTTATCCTAATAAAATGTTATAGAGGAGGGGCCTACTACATATGTGCTCGTAAAGTGTGGAACAAATTTTGTTCTTTTTCCTTTTCATCAAAACAAGCAGCCAAATGAATTTGAACACATATTTATGATCGCCCCGAGTTGAACTATCAGATGGTATAGAAGATTATTTTGAGGTATCGTTTAAGATACACTATCAAATAAAGTGTATGAAATTACAGTCAAACCTAAGCAGGCTGATACATGTATCTGGTGACACCAGGTATTGTGCCAGTGGGCTGAGGTGGCATGGGAGAGAGATTATCAAGCAATCAACTAGAGGGTGCTGTGTGTAGTGAGTGTGTACTCTCGAGCAGCCAGTTAGCTGGAGGTATAGCCGGGCAAATATAATTAGTTAAATAAGGATCATACAATCATACAACTCAGGCTCCTGGTAGATGATGGTGTAAAGGTGCAAATACTATGTTTATATGGGTGTTACTTTTTGTACGCTGGCTAAACCTGGCGATGAAA